GCTGAATGAATCAGACCGGGGCAACACCGCAGACACGCCATCAGACTCTGGATCTGGCACCCCCACTTGACTAAACATCCAAAGACGAAACTATACCTATCATCCACGAACCACAAACCTAGTGATGACCTGAAATTGCACAGGGTCATGTAGCAATTTCATGAGAAGTAAGGTTTATCGATTCCACCGGGAGCGAACAAGATGGCACCATAATCCCCGCAGCCGTGTTATCACTTAACACAACTACGCTCACACTCAAACCAGAGTTTGGAAACAGTTTACTTAATGAGTATGTTGCTAGGTAACGGTAAAAGGAGAGAATTAAACTCTAGATAATGGAAAATAAATACTAAAATAAACTAAGAAAATAAACTATGAGAAGTACGTGATGTTTTCGATGAGATTGCTGACACCTAGGTACGGCCTAGTTCGGCTCCGACACGTAATGGAGTTCAACTTTTACGATTATGTCATGAGATGGCTAAGTCAGTACCTGCATTATAGGATACGATGGTCTACTATGGTGGGTGCTCCCTCACATGACAATATCCCTCAAGACGCGCTATGTTGAGTTAACTCAATCGTCCTACTTCTTGTCTTATGCCTGCGGCGACTAACTTAAAAATATTAAGGTCACGGGGATCGGGGGAAGGCAATAAGTTCTATGGACAACTGTGCTCCAAGAATAATTGTGTTCCCCTTAAGATGTTTGCACCTGTCATGTCGCAGGTCTGTCGTTTTTCACAACCATCTATTAACTTCATGTGTGGCCTTGGGAGTTCGATGTCTCCAACTGCGCCAATGGAAAGGGCATTTTCCGTCACTAAATTACCAAAGGTATTAAGCAACGCACATAATTTAAAAACACATATCAAATAACCACTTACTAATCGACCGACCCATAGCAAACAATTACTCAAGTAACATCACATAAAAGGGAGTTCAAGAGTTGTTACAACCCATCACAGAGACCGTGATGCAGGAGGAAGAAGGGATGTTGATGGTGGTGATGAAGGTGGCGCGGATGATGATGGTGATGACGGTGGTGTGGCGGCGGCGGCTCCCTCCAGTCTCCCTCTCGATCGCAACAATGGTGTTTTTGACGTGGACGACGGCTGGACATGGAGATGAATGATGAATGAGGCTTGATGAAGATAATAACAACGGGTAGGGTTGAAGGTGTGTGTATAATGGCTCTCTTAGCCTTGTCCGTTGATGTAGCATCTCTTCTTTGATCCAAGGGCTCTAAGTGAGCCATATCCTCTCCTAGGACATCCCTTAAAGACCAAGGAAGTCGTGAGAACAAACGGGGACGAAGTCCACGAAGAATTATGTCATGAGAGGCAACCTTCGGTGAAGTTTCGGGTTCATACGAGAGTCTGTACGACCATCCATGATCGCATGAAACGTCGTCTTTGGTACCGATGTCTCCCGGTAAAACGACCGTCATTTCTTCATACGAACTCAAAATTCGACGTTCTTGAGTTTGTTAGATTCATATGAATGATGCTGATCCATTTTTGATTTTAGATCTTAATTTTGAGCACTTTGCAAAAATGACTTTTTCACTCTTCGAAATGGCCAAGTCTGGCCCCCTAGATGTCCTCCGTTTGTACATCTTTCATCGTGCTAAGTGCATGGGAAGTCTGCATCACCTACATGACACACAAAGACAAAGAAAACTAGTAAAAACTAAAAGAATAAAGATTATGCAATGCTCACGGTGAAAAGAGTAAAAACTGAAAATCATGCATATGAACACATATTGGCTCAATGGGACATGATATAACTTGGTATACGAAGATAATGTGGAATAAATGAGCTCTAAAAATGTATAAAATATGGATACATCACCTAGCACATGATCCACCATCTTCCAGATGTCGCCGATGCATGCCACATTCTGCATCCGCTCTTGGACTACATCCCAACCACCGTGACGACACTAGAGTACGCCGTCACAACGACGATGCCCGAGGACACAGGTCCACCACAAGGATGCCGCCGCCACACCATCCTTGCTTGAGTAGACTAGTTTTCAAATCCATCCTCAACCATAGGACCAATCACCTTGCTGGGGTAGGATATGAAGAATCTTTATTCAGCACCGCCATCGCCGTCGCCGAAGTCAAGACGCTGAACAACCCAAAACATAAGCTACTAAAGCCTAAAACGATCCACGCACGTGCATCCGGTGACCCCCTTACCACCGACGACCAAAGTCGTCGGCAGAGGGGAGGCGCCGAAGGGGCGGCAGAAGGAAGCACTCGGCGACAGGTGAGATCGCTTTCTTTCTTCCTCTTGAAGAAAGAAACGGTACAAAGGTTTCTCTTAGCTTACAGAGGTTAGCTACACTGTGCAGATTATCCCTTCGTGGTATAATAACCTTCAGTATTCTATGGTGTCACCCTAAAAAAGAAGTATTCCGCGGTGTCACCCAGCACTCCCCTTGTGCGACCATGCGCTTCCCCTGCTATACTTGTGCTCGTTTCTTCCCAAGGGACGGGTGGTGCAAGTCTACTTTGAAGGGAGCTTCAGAACCAGTTCCGACCCCTACAAGCTTGCAGAAAACGGTGTTCAAGACCAACCCCGACCAAGACACATCCGAGCTCAGAAACCGGTTCAAGGACTACTGATGGTGTTACGGCGCAGGGGCGCCTCATCATGCCAGATGCTGGCCCATATAGGCTAGCCCATGGCCCCTAGGTCATCTTATGCCCTGGGTCGACGTATCGGCCCTTGACCCCTATAGAAGGAAGGACCCAAAGTACTTGGTGCGCAAGAGAAGAATTGGTGTCCTAGAGAACTGCTCCAACGACTAGTCGACTAGGACTTTTCTAACCCTATGCCTCCGACATCCTTTATAAGTCGGGGTCGGGCTAGTCGATGGGCATATCCAGTCATGACTTAGACACAAGTTAGAATCTCTCGATAGTCGGTACTTGTACTTTATATACTCCAATCGCAATATACAACACAAGTAGGAGTAGGGTTTTACCTCGTAAGAAGGGCTTGAACCTGGGTAAATCTGGTCTCCTGTCTACTCACCTCACTGAGACACTATACCAAGGGATCTGCCAGAATTAGCTCCAACATGTGTGGATGGTGACCATGAGATGTCAACGTCCACTTGTAAATTCACTAATGTCTTAGGTAGTCACTAACCATCTAGAGGAGAGGAGCTAATGTGTTGCTCCATGTAATATGCATCGATCATATTGGATTCATATAAGGTTGATTTTGGAATATTAGATGTCAGATATCGGGTTATATATCAGATGATATGTGGTAACTTGGTATATCACATATATGACTTTCATTACTAATCTTGTTTCAATGAAAGTCATATATGCCGCTCATGCCAAGCAAATGTAAGGAATGCATTGACGGGTCGACCAATTAGGATTTTGTTTTTTCAGGTTTTAGGAACCTCCTAGAAGGTTTTGGTACGGTTTCTCTCATCCCCTTTTTCTTTTCTATTTGTTTCCTCTATCGATTTTCTTTTCGTTTATATATATTTTTGCTATTGCTTTTATTTATCTGTTCATATTTGTAAAACAAATGTCCTTGAAACTTAAAAAAAATGTTGACAAAAATTTAGAGAAAAATCTTCACAATATTTTTAAAAATATCCAAAATAAGTTAGGAACATTGTTCTTGGATTTGAAAAAATGTCGACATTGTCAAAATAAAATAAATCACATATTCTTTTGAAAAGCCAAAGTAAAAATTGGCTGAAAACTAATAAAATCGGAAAAAACCGGCTCTCGACAGGAAATCGCTACACGCTAGCGCTAAATGGTCGGCCAGAGGTAGCACTATGTGCGACTCCCCAATTTAGTCGCAGAGTGACACACAGGAGGTTTAGGGAATTCCTATTCAACGCTTACGGTGCTAGTTATAAGCTTATCGGTAGATAGCGCACACCCGCTCCAGCACGTTCATAGGGAATGGGCCAACCAGTCTAGGGGTTGCGTTTCAGGTTTGTGGTAACTCCCAAAATCCAGTTTTGTGAAGCTTCTAGAAGCTTTCAATCGGGGTTTCTTTGTGTTTTCTACTGGTTTATTGCTCATTTTTTCTTATTTTATTTTTTATTTCCCTATTTTAAATTTATGAACTTTTTGTTCAGTTTTGTGTTTCTTGAAAATCTCAAACTTTTTTCAATTTCATGACGGATTTTCAAACATATTTTTTTCAAACCGATGAATATATTTTTCAAATCTGTGAACTGCTTTCCAAAATTCATAATCCTTGAACTTTTTTTCAATCCACAAACCTTTTTTAAATCTGTGAACATTTTTTAAATTTGAAAAACTATGAGCAGTTTGTTTTTCTTGAATAGGAGAGAAACACCAGAATAAAAAGGCTATAAAAAAATTAAACCAGCAAATGGGCGGGCGATCGAGTGAGCATTTCTGCTTTATTGCAGGGACGCGGCACACATTCGTAGTTCAACTGTGCCGGCCCATTTACTGTAGCAGATGGTTCCATAAACAATGGTTTATTGTGGTGGGTGATTCCAAAACAAATGTTTTACTGTATCAGACGGTTCAAAAAGTTGTGAACATTTTTTTCAATGAACCTTTTTTTTAAAACTTGTTTATTTTTTAACTTTGTGAACATTATTTGAAACATGAGCAGTTTTGGACATCTCAAACATTTTCTAAAAGCGAAGACATTTTGAATTCCCAGAAAACAGTACTGAAAAGCTACGCTACGTTAGATAAATGGGCCGGGCCACCCAGAGAGCTCGCCTGTGCGAAAGGGCCATTTATTGGACGCATTTACCGGTATGTTTTTAGGCCGGGCCCAAGAAGGAGAAGGGGTTCGCGGAGAGGCGTTAGTTGCAAATAGGAGTTGCCCTGCCTGCTCAAGCACCCTCAGCCGCCGCCTCCTCCACCTCCAGTCCTCCCCCCACCGGCGCCACCCTCAGCCGCCGCCTCGCCCTCCATACCCCACCTCGCCTCTGCCTGCATATCTCGTCACCGCGGCATCTATCCATGACGGAGCTAAACCCTAAGCCCAAGTCCGCAAAGAAAGCGAGGAAGGCCGCCGCTGGTGGGGGGGAGGAGGGCATGGACTCGCTCAAGTCCGATGTAATCCCCAAGCTGAAGTCCAGCAAGAAATCAAAGAAGCCCGCCGCCGACGAGGGTGAAGAGAAGGGCGCGGACGCGCTCAAGTCCGACGTAAGTCCCGAACCGAATCCCACCAAGAAGAAGAAGAAGAAGAAGAAGCCCGCCGCCGGTGGGGAGGAGGATGACATTGGCGCGATCAAGTCCGACGTCGCCTCGTTCGCCTCATCGCTGGGACTTGTCCCCGGCGCCGGCAACTCCTCCGGGTTCGACGACTCCGACTTCCGCAAGTCGGGCCCCATGAGCGCCCCCAAACCGCCCAAGCACCCCCAAACCCCAGAAGCGCCCGCAAACACCGATCCCCCCCAACACCCTAAACCTACCAAGAAGCCGCATCCTCTCGAGCTCCATGGCCCTCATACCGCCGCCACCACCAGTGCCACCACCAATTACCCGCTTGTAAAGGCCGGTGCTCTCTCCGGGCAGTGGTATGCTGATGCTGCTGAGCTGGAGGTCAGGGTCCTAGGCGACCGTAAGCATGCCGCACCAGCAGTGGGGCTTCAGGAGATGCAGCGGATGGTGGAGCGGAAGCGGGAGCTGGCGGAGAAGCTCATGGCGCAATACTCGAGGGAGTATGACTCGGTGCGGCGGGGAACTGGTGATCTGAAGCTCCTGGAGATGTCGGCCAAGTCTGGTACATCAGCCGATAAGGTGTCGGCGTTCACATGTCTAGTCGAGGACAATCCAATTGCAAACATGAGGGCGCTTGACTCTCTCCTCGGTGAGTTGCACTATTGAAATGCTCATCGTGGTTGCGTATTGAACAAATTGAGGCAATAATGCTTCGTAGATCATGGAAACAGAGCTAGATTACATTTGAGATTCTTCCTGTATCTAGACACTGAGCTAGGGAAGAATGTTTTGAAGTGATCCTGATTCCTGACAACTTATCAACTTTTACAATCACAGTGGCAGTTTTTTTAATCTCATGTAAGTATGTAATGCTTGAGTAAAAGTGGCATTTGGAAGCAATTTGATTGCATTAAATGTGACTGCAACTAGGAAAATATCCAGTGTTTCAGATCAAAAATGAATCATGAATGTTAGATGGAAATCGCATAAATGTTAGACCTTTTAAGATATAAAACCAACTTGAAGTCACTAGAAAAACTTAGATGAGTATCATATGTTTGTTATGTGCAGTAGGCTTTATTTAGTGGCAGATGCCCGCCATAGGTTTGGACTATTAGCATTGCTGTCATTCGGTAGTGTATGGTCGGCAACTTAGTATAATCAGTTAATCACTGCCACTGGTCTTATGTGAACACCAGCGAGGTCTTTGTCAGTGAATGCGTTCCTTGCCACTGGAGAAAGATTGCTCAGGTTTACGAGATGACTCACTTTGTTGAGTTGAAGTTACCGTCTGCATCTACTTTCATCTTCTCGTAGATTTCCTTTTGAAAACTGAGGTTGCGGTTTTATTCTGGTACTTAATAATATAAGTATGTAGTCAATCCTTTTAGAACTAGAACCTCGCCGGGCTATCCAGATACATAAGGCCATCATGACATCGATGAAGTAGCACAATTTTCAGATAAATTCCACCATCTATTGAAAAGTTAAGGTCTATCATGAATGGCAAATCTATATCGTTTCAAATCACAGGCTTTTAATTGTGAACTATCAGTTTTTGCTATATAACATGCAGTTCAGCTAAGATGGATATTGCTTGGACAAAGCTTTATGTCTGTGCATACAGGAAATTAGCTTTCTTGCAGTTCTAAGTTTGTGAAGCATGTTTTGTTTTGTTTTGTTTTGGGTTACTTCATATTTTTTGTTTGCAATCTTCGGTATAGCTGGACTTTCAATGTCAATATGCCGTTTTGGAGATCATCTTGTTTCTGTTCTCTTCTTTGATAAGTATTCTAAAGAGGTTCTTTCTGTTTTTTGGAAACGAAATTACAACAGGTATGGTAGCATCAAAGGTTGGTAAAAGGTATGCATTCACAGGCTTTGATGCATTGAGGGAGTTGTTCGAAATGAGGTTAGCATCTTCTGAACTCTTTTCTTTTGTTACCTTGTAGCTATAGAACCTTTCCCTCCTGAGGACACACTAAAGCAAAATCGGTGGCATTTATCTTGTTATATTTCTTACCTTATTTTCCTTGAATCTTACTGCCATTTCTCAAATTGGAACTCATCCTTGCGGGAGCCACTTGAATGGGCTGCACCATTGGTCTTTTATTAGGCGTAAAGGCTCCCTTCTTTACTGGTGCGAATATGCTTTCCAATTGATTATTCTTTGTTTTGTGTTTTCTAGACTGCTAGGCTTACACAAGTTCAGGCACAAGAAGTTACATGCCCGCAAAAGCATTTCGTAGCACATGCACTTGAAGCTTGCACGGCTTGATTTTCCCGCATAGCAATTTCTTGCTCTTAACATCTGACTAGACTGTCTCATGTTACTGGCTTTGGTTTCCATCTATTCCCTTGTTGGTTCGGGAATGATGTGCAGCTGTTCCATCCCCTGTTCTTTGGTTTTATTGAGACAGTCATGTGGGAATGCTAATTTTAGAAGAATCACGCTGCATGTGTACAAACGAATGGAGAGGGCCACGGCTGTTTTATGAGTGACACTTTCTCGAACATTAACCAGACTAATTAATTAGCACTGCCAGATTTATTTTCTTACGGCATAAGCTCTCTGTTTTCTTTTATTTCTTGTCATCATGGTTATTGAATATTGATGACATTCTCTTGCTAGGTTATTGCCTGATCGTAAGTTGAAAAGTCTTATTCAGCGCCCATTAGACATTTTACCTGAAACAAAAGATGGCTACTCGCTTCTCCTATTCTGGCATTGGGAAGACTGCTTGAAACAGAGGTATTTCTCACTCCACTATGTATCTGGCTATTTACATTTCAGTCATCCAGGATCCAAGTAGATGCCATATGTAGGTCCGGACTCTGGAAGAAATAAGCCTTCAATTTAGGAACACTTTATTATCGAATGAAGGCACTAGACTTTTTATCTTGCCATTGTTATATGTGACACCTTTATTATTATTCTATTGGTCAGCATTTTAAATGTGTCACATATAACAATGGCAAGATATATGTGACACCTTTCTCTTGCCTGGTCATTGTTATATGTGACACCTTGATGGCTGGCATGTGGGACCCATTACCATTGTTACATGTGACACCTTTATCTTGCCTGGTCATTGATTTTTTTTCAGTTTTGAATGTTATGATTAATACTATTACAGGTATGAGAAGTTTGTTATTGCACTGGAGGATGCGTTAAAAGATATGCTGCCAAGCCTGAAGGACAAAGCAATGAAGGTTAGCCCAAATCGTGGATTCATATGGAACAAACTTTTTTATTTGCTCTCATTCTGGGCAAAGACTAGCATTATACCGTCACAGAATGAAAGAATCAATTGGGGAACTTATAGTGGGGCATATCCTATCATTTTCTACATCACATCTGATACTTGGAAATATCGAAAACAGTAAAGTAGTTGTGAAAAATCAAAACATAATCGCAAACATCCGGCAAGATGCATTGGAGCTGCGATAGAAATTGCTATTACCCCCGTTCCTAAATATAAGACGTTTTGGCGGTTCAAATTGAACTGCCAAAACGTCTTATATATAGAAACGGAGAAGAACAGTACGATTTTGAGGCAGCTAAGCATGGTTTGCCTCGACAAACTTGCATAACATCTAATCTAGCTTTGACCATATTGTGAGTGGAGATATGTTGATGCTGTACCAAATGTACTAAATCTCGGGATCAGCTGTTGAATTGATACCGCGTCATCTTTCAAACCGATTTAACACGGAATTATCAAGCCATAATAGAATTTCAAGTCAGTTACTTATCCAGATATGTCTTACGTTTTAATATCTTGGCGGAAACTAGCTATTTCCTGCAGGGAACTTGATTCCTGGCAGGCACCAGAAAACTTTAAAACCAAACTAGTTTTGTAACTGAATATGAAGATTTGAGTAGAAGTTTCTGGCGGCAATTTTGTCGAACCAACCGAAGTTCTCCAGGAACTGGTGAAAGCAAAATTACCTAATTAAATAGAACATCAGGAGGTTCAAAACTGGTCCTTGCCTGCAACTGCTTGGTTTCCAATTCCTGGTCAATCTGGAAGCTCGGCCACTGGTCCTCATGAGATCTGGGAAATGGCTGGCATTTTATTTTGAGGATTTACTTATCCTAGCCTCGTAAAATAGACATGCTTCCACTGATTTGTGCTATTACTATCATTAAGAGTATTTTGTGTTTCCTTGTCATGAAATGTGTCTTGTTTGTTGTTTTCCTCTTTTCTCTGCAGACAGTTTCTGCCCTTCTAAAGAGTAAATCTGAACAGGAACGCCGGTTACTTACAGCTCTTGTTAACAAAGTAAGTTGTCACTTTTCTGCCATTTCTCCATTTTCACTTGTTATGATGTACCCAAAGCAGATATGATTAATTTATAGTGCAATGTTATATATATTACTTATGATAAGCAATACCTTACGGGCAGCGGCTTTATTCTTAGTCATCGTGATGCAAACTATTGCAGCTTGGAGATCCTGAAAGGAGGGCAGCATCAAGTGCCGCATATCTGTTAACAGGTCTTCTGTCCACTCATCCAAATATGAAGGTATATGCATTTGTCATAAATTGTCTGTTCGATCAGTATAGTTAACTACGTTATATTTTTCTCACGAAATCAATAAAAAACTTAACACTTGTGTGTTCTCGGACATTTTAAATTTGCAGATGGTTGTGATAGATGAGGTGGACTCATTTCTGTTCAGACCACATGTTGGGCTTCGGGCCAAATACCAAGCCGTATGTTATTGTTTCCGTTACTATTTTATTCAAACATTGGTTCTGAATTTCATACACAGAGCGCATTGGTAAATTGGTTCTCTTACAGATAACATTTGTGTAAAGTTTTACTTTCTGAATACCGGGATATGCTCATCTATCCAAACTACGATGTATTTATTTTAAATGTGCTATCTTGCCTTCTAAACTAAAGTTGTTATTGTACAGGTCAACTTTTTGAGCCATATTTTTCTTACCAGTAAAGGAGATGGACCTAAAATTGCAAAACGGTTGGTGGATGTCTACATTGCGGTTTTCAAGGTTTGGACGTGGTTCATAAGTGTATAATTCTTGCTGTGCTTAGGCGTTCTTACTGGCGATGACCCTTCTCCTGCCAACGTTTAGTTTACTTTCATCACATCCTCAGTTCGCCATCTTGTTGGCCCTATTTTCTTTTAAACTTCTGAAGTTCACATCATATTTCAATTTTGTTTCTACGGCTTTATGTTCATCCTCATAGTCTCCTCACCTGTATGGGGTTAATTGCTTTTAAATATTTGAAGTTGTCTTTATTGTTCTGTGGCACTGTTGTCAGGTACTCATGTCTTGCCCTCGTGATAGTAAAGGAGAAAAACAAAGTAAACATGGCAAGAAAAAGGTTGAAAATGGGAAAACAAAGGGGCGAGAGGACAAGGTCAACGACTCCAATTCACATGGAAACCATGAAATGGATCCACCAGCAGGAACAGATTTAGAGATGGATTCCCGCCTTCTCTCTGCCCTTTTATCTGTATGTCTCACACTCTGCAGACTTGCCTAGTACTGTCTTTGCTTCGTCGTGTTATGTGCTAACAGTATGCTTACATATGCCCCTTTTTTTGTGCTCAGACTGGTTCCTGACTTGTGTCTCTAGTTCTTATTGATAGTTCATCTTATGCAGGGCGTAAATAGAGCGTTACCATATGTTGCAAGCTCTGAAGTTGATGATATTGTGGAAGTTCAGACACCAATTCTTTTTAGACTGGTGAGGTTATTAACCAGTGAAAGTACATTGCTGAGTTGTTCTCTGAAGGACATAATAGCTTCCTGTAAAGATCCTAACTAGCAATTTTTTTGTTGCATGTAGGTTCACTCTGAGAACTTCAATGTTGGTGTTCAGGCGTTAATGCTTTTATATCAGATCTCCACAAAAAATCAGATAGCAAGTGACCGTTTTTACCGTGCGTTATATGCGAAACTTTTGAGTCCTTCAGCTGTTACTTCATCAAAGGTTTCAGTTGCCGGCCCTTTTGCCATGCTTTCTGTGTGTTCTTTATTTTAGTGTACTTTGATCTTTGAACAATAACATGGTTTATAGATCTCTTCCCTGGCACAAGATAACCATGAAGAAAGTAGCTCTGCGCCTCACCCTTATATGTTGTTAGGCATCTTTCTATAGTTTACCTGACTAATCATGTCTTGCATATTTCAGCCGGAATTATTTCTGGGTCTGTTGGTGAAAGCAATGAAGAACGATGTAATGCTGAAGAGAGTAGCTGCATTTTCGAAGCGTCTGCTTCAGGTATGTTTTCTAACGATGCGAATATATTACTTAAATTTGCTAGAAGTTCGTAATCACAGAAATGGTTGTCGTGGGCTCCCGACATATAAGCCGATTATGCCTTAATCAGTTACCTGTCGCCCAGGACGAGCATAAAGGACTAACATTAGTTACGCTACTACTATACAGCACTAACACCACTGCCCACTGGAACTAAAAACTACACAGCTGCACATGAAAGTTCCAAGTGGAAATTCCCCAGAAGTTGCAAATTCTGTGCAAATGGGATTCATAAGTAAGTCCTAATTTGTAGTAATATGGAAGAGTATGTTGTACATAGATGCAATCATGCAAAATTTCAGGTCTAAATTACGTCATTTCCAACATACAAAGGTAAATACTTGAGTTGTATCACAGCTATGACCACCACACCCTAGGTTGTATCAGAAACGGTGTCTGCTATGCCTCTTGTACTAGTTTTGATGGGCCCACGATGGGGTTAGTCTTAGGGATATGATTACAGGGTGGGAGTGAACAAAAATATCGTTACAAACACTAAATAATAATAAAAAATCCCAATTTTTGTGTGGACAAAGATTCATGAGTGCGTGATGCCCGTGCCAAATTTCAGAGCATTTGGATGTCTGAGTAGCTCTCAGCAAAAAAGACAAATTTGGGGTCTGAAAAACTTTACTGTTTGTGCACTGTTGGGACCTGATTTTGTTGTTTTTGCTGAGAGCTACTCAGATGTCCAGATGCTTTGAAGTTTGGCACGCATCTCACGCACTCAAAGATCTTCCATGAAAAAAAACCCGGATTTTTTGAATTTACTGTTCACCAGGTGCAGATGAGCCTGGGTTCAGAATTGGATATTAGGTGATGTTGTCATTATCTGAGTACTAACCAGTAAAAGAATAAGATATGTTCCCGCAATATGATTAGAGCCAAGTTCACACTTGGTCACAAAACAATATTAACCACATGGTTTGTGCTGTTCTTATTTCTGTTTTACACCATTTTTGTGATAGTAGGATTGTCAAGTAGAAACTCCCACTGCAACTCTTATGCCTGTTTTACATGCTTCGTGATTTGTGATATTTTAGAAAAGAACTAGAACTGATATTTTGAAATATGACATAAAAGTGACAATATCATAAGGGATGTGTTTGTATTTTATTTATATATTATATTTTCCACCACCCACTTGTCCTACAGTGGGATGTGGGAAAAGGGAAAGAAATCTGGGCGAAGGCTTTTAAAATCTAATCGTTGTTTAGACTATAATTACAAATCCGAAATATTGAATCTTTTAGTTTTACCTGTATTATTTGTGATTATGGAATTGAATGGAACTAGGGATGCTCTAATAACTAAATTGTGATGTCTCTGAACAGGTGGCTCTTCAACGCCCTCCACAGTATGCTTGTGGATGCCTTTTCATACTGTCTGAGGTCCTTAAAACAAAGCCACCATTATGGTATGTGGTTACTTGTCAATACCATATGATCTCACTGAATTTTATTGAGTACATAATTTACATCAAAATCTTCAGGACGATTGTGCTCCAGAATGAATCTGTCGATGATGGTATCGAACACTTCGAAGACATAGTAGAGAATCCTGAGGACCCTGCTATTGCTTCAACAAGTCCAATCAAACAGGATAGTATGTTGGCTTCACTTGAGAAATACAATTCTGACAGCGAGGATGATTCTGATGCTACGAAACAAGTAAAAGTGTCCGCTAGTGATGAGAAGGGTCAAACCAATGCATCAGCTGAGGGGTCGACATCACATGTATTATATAATCCACGACACAGAGAGCCTTCTTACTGGTATTGTCTTTTTAATCCTATATTTTGCATGAAATTTTCAGATTATGTTTGATAATGCAAGGATAGAAATATGGGTATGCATCATGTTAATTTGGATTAGCTCTACTATCTGATCCAGGTGTATAATAAATTTCCGTTTATTTCTTTTGAAACGCTAGTGGCAATATCGTGTAGCATTCTTGATAATCTAGTTCATCTCAAAATGCTATACTGTTGCAATCCAATTACAAGAAAAAATTCAAATAGAATTGGCCACTTGGTATACAAAATCAGTCACCATTTTTTGACAAGATCCCTAATAATCTATAACATCATACTATTTCACAATTTTCTCTCCTTTTTTGTACTTTGTTACAAATACAAACAATGTTCTTGATCACTCGTGCTTTTTGTTGTGTTCTCAGCAACGCAGATCGTGCTAGTTGGTGGGAGCTAACGTTATTGGCCTCACATGTGCACCCGTCAGTATTTACAATGGCTAGGACATTGCTATCTGGAAACAATATTGTCTATAATGGTGATCCATTGACAGACCTGTCGCTTCCTGCCTTCCTTGACAAATTCATGGAGAAGAAACCAAAAGGAAACCGCATTGCTGAAGGGAAATGGCATGGTGGATCACAAATTGCACCAGCTAAAAAGGTATGAATTTGTTATTTGCCTTTACTTTCTTTTGTTGAATTTGAATTGTTCATCTTGTGTTGTTTCTCTTCTAAGATGTTTTATCTCTGGATTTTACAATGACTTCTTCATGTTTTTTATTTTTTAACTTGTGGAAAAAAACATCACCTATATAGCTGTCAACTTGTCATATATTCGTTCTGTCATGGTTCCCATAATCTCTTGTAGCTTCACCAATATGAGGGGACCGCATTAGTATCATTCCAGTGCCTTTTGTCACGTAGCAGATACTGTCCGTGTGTGTCATGGACAGTACACTAGTAAAGTAGTAATCACTCGTATACTGTTCACATGTTCGTTACTTCCTTTGAGTTAGTGCTATCTTTTGTGTGCTTCCATCGTTTAGGCAGTGGCTGCATAAGAATATTCATTGTTACATTTGGAATTAAGTGAGAATATCCTGCAGCTATGGCCTATGGGCATGCGCCATTTAGGTCCAGTGACACCTTGATCAGGCCTAAGTGTCATTTCACAAGCATTTCCTGCATATGTATGCTCTTCATAATTAATTTGAACATTCATACGTAAAATCAACCTGTCTATACATCTGAAAGTACGTGATGATTTCTAGTTTGTCTTGGCAACTATAAAAATAACTGCATATGTTTTACCTGATCTCATGTTTAGTGATGACCTTTGACTATCTTTTCGGTTATGGATTCTATCATCATGTGACAGCACATGTGGCACTCCCTCTTCATATATACGAGTTGTCACTGCCGCAATTCTGTTGGCTGATCTATGTACGTCTGTGTGTGTGTTTGTGTCTGCAGCTTGACCTGAATCATCATCTCATTGGACAAGATCTGCTAGAATTGGCAGAAAATGAAGTTCCTCCAGAAGATGTTGTTTTCCACCGCTTCTACATGAACAAGACAGGCCCTATTAAGCCCAAGGCAAAGAAGAAAGCTTCAGTTCTGGATGAAGATACTGGAGAGCTCTTAGCTGATGACGTTGATGATGTCAGTGATGAAAGTGATGACGAGATGCAGGAGGTGGATGAAAGTGATGACGAGATGCAGGAGCTGGAAGATGAGTCTGCGGAGGATGGAGAATATGACTACGACAATCTGGACGCCAAGGCATTTGAGGAGGAAGGGGATTTGCTTAGAGATGACAGTGATGCTGATGTGTTGGATGACATTTCAGATGACGACGAGGATGATGATGAAGATGATGGTCTTAACATGTCATATGTGGACGAGAGTGCTGACGATTCAGATGATGATGTTACCGATGTAAAGGCTGCAGCTGCAGCCCGTGGGCAAAAGCGAAAGAGCCGCTCAACTCCATTTGCAAGTCTAGAAGAGTACGAACATCTCATGGAGGGGGAGGCTGAGAAGTCTACTTTGAAGAAGCAGCGGAAGCACAAGGAAGCTGGGGACAGTGTGGGCCGTAAGGAGAGAGGACAGAAACAGTCGGGATCACGGAGGTCCAAGAGATCTGAATGAGAATGAGCTTATACCATGTTGGAAAATGTTTGTGGCGATGTTGCTCGCTAAAGTTTTGTAGTTTTGGAAGACGCAAGCGGCTGGCAACATGTTGGTCTTACCTTCTGGCACTCGCCGCCACCAGTTCCTCTCCGCCCGTCCTTTTGCCGGTGTGGACGCGCTAGCTCTTGCAGGAAGAAAGACCGGCGTGTGATCAGGCTCGGAGAATTAACCAATCAGTCATCATCTCGTCTAGGCGTGTAACAGCTTGGATTCTCTAATTTTGACATTTTTTGTATGTTGCATACATTTTTTTCCTACATTATGTAAACCGGGTGCATGAAGAAGCTATATCCACCTAAATTTGTTATTTTTTCATAAAATATCTGGGAAATATCTGCGCTAAACATATAATAAGAACATCCACAGCATGGATAAAATGGGTATCCTTAAATCCGAGAGCCATAATAGACATGGAGATTATTATTGTTACTAGGAAAACCCTCCGAGAGAACTGCCAAGATCTCCCACCCTTAGCATGGAAAACTGGCAAGCAATATTCAACATGTCACACTGCACATTAGAGGCCTCTATCTGACAGAGGGGCACGTCCAATGTAAATGCAAAATGTTTAGGGTCTGTCTATATTACATCTGGAGTAGATGATTATCTCACATCTAACATGATGTTACACCCTTTTTGTGGCCCTCTCATTGACAACTTCCTCTCGCTGGTTTGTTATTTTCTGTTTGTTTGATGGTTGTCCAGCTTTTTTTTTTGAGGGGATGATGGTTGTCCAGCTAAGTTTATCCTTTGATGCTAAACAAGCTAACTGCGTCAACGATTGGGCCGGTACACAGCTACGCACCGAGGTGTGCTGGTTTGTAGCACACGAGAAAAACTCGTAAGTGTGCCTGTTTCCTCTAAAATAAAACGAGAAAAAGTTATCGAAAGGATAAGGGCAGTTAAGCAGGAATCGAACTCCCAAGCTACGACTCTTAACATGTCTTATAGCCTCTAGAACAAATGGATGTTTGTGACAACTGATCAGCGCAAATATTTGACAACTCACTGCAACGATCAGATTTGAAGCCTTTTTTGAACATTTATTGAAAATTCGTGAAACATTTATAAATGACGAATATTTTTTTAAGTGTGAACAATATTTGTAATTTGAAACATTTTTTGAAAATACATTTTTTAAAACGTGATTTTTTCTTGAAATCTCGAAAAGTTCCGTGTACGACGAACCTTTTTAGTTTTCTACTCCCTCTATTCCTAAATATTTGTCTTTTTAGAGATTTCAAATGGACTACCACATACGAATGTATATAGACATATTTTTAGAGTGTAGATTTACTCATTTTGATCCGTATGTAGTCACTTGTTCAAATCTCTAGAAAGACAAATATTTTAAAACGGAGGGAGTAGTACGTATTTGTATGCACGGATCATTGTGCATGCCTTTTACCGGCCCTGCCACCTCCGCCCCCGGGGCTGCCGCCGGCTGGCGCGGTCCGTGTTGGCGTTCCTTGGAGCCAGGTGGTGAGCGCCGGGTCTGTGGTTGGCGTGGCCGGTCCAGGCTTCTCGGTCCCCTTTGCACCGGTGGAGTCGCTGTCGGTGTCAAAACCGACAGATCTCGGATAGGGGGTCCCGAACTGTGCGTCTAAGGATTGAAGGTAACAGGAGGCAGGGGGCACGATGTTTACCCAGGTTCGGGCCCTCTTGATGAAGGTAAAACCCTACGTCCTACTTGATTGACTTTGATGAGTATAGCGATTACAAGAGTTGATCTACCATGAGATCGTAATGGCTAAATCCTAGATGTCTAGCCTGTATGATTTATGACCACCTCTACGGACTAAACCCTCCGGTTTATATAGATACCGGAGGGGGCTAGAGTTTGTACAAAGTCGGTTTACAGAGAAAGAAATCTTCATATCCGAACGTCAAGCTTGCCTTCCACGCCAAGGAGAGTCCCATCCGGCCCATCAGTCTGGCCCACGTCACATAGCCCGGACGCCCGGAGACCCCCTAATCCAGGACTCCCTCAGTAACCCCTGAACCAGGCTTCAATGACGATGTGTCCGGCGCCCAGATTGTCTTCGGCATTGGAAGGCGGGTTCCTCTTCCGAATACTCCAAAGTAGCTCGACCAAGAAAACTATATCCGGCTCTGTACAATAGTCACAACCCTGAACCACAAAGGCAAAATACTTAGGAAAAAAATAGGTCATGTCTTTTGACAACTTTTTTGGCGAGGCATTGAATCCCGGCCTCATTATTATTTTGAACCATTTTTTCAGCCTCCTGTTTCGCGTTTCGAGATGCAACTCCCAGCGACACGTCTTGTCAAAGTAAAGATCGCGTCCCCTTATTGCGGGATTTTCATCAATGAGGGTTTGGGTAATCCAACCGTGCCATCCGCTCGACCCCTTGGGAATAGGCAAATTTTAAGGCTTGTGCGGGGTCGCTTGACATTCGTTACCTTTATAAAGGGATAATGACCCATCTTTTACCCCACGCCTTCTCCTTCCTCAACCTTCCCATCCTTGAGCTCCAGCGCCCAAGTCTCAATCCTTATCCATTGCCACCACGCTCTCCGACCATGTTCGGATCTGGTTCGCAAGGAAAGTGGGTGGCCTCTTCCGTGACAAAGAAGGATATCCAAGGACTCCGTGAGGCGAGGTACTTAACCGCGGAAATCGCACACAGACTTCCGACGAAGGGGCAAGTCATCCCTACTCCGGAGCCTGGCGAAAGGGTTAGGGTTAGGGTTTCATCCTTCACCCCTTTGTTCGCGGCCTCATGTTCTACTATGGGCTAGATTTTCACGATCTAGCCCGTAACTCCTTCCTCCATATCTCGGCGTTCATCATCATGTGTGAGGCGTTTCTCCGCATCCCCCCACACTTCGGCCTGTGGCTCAAGACCTTCAACGTGAAGCCGAAGGTGGTCGACGGGGAGCACGCGGACTACGGCGGAGCCATGGTGAGCAAGCTCCCTCACACTATCTGGCCTAAAGGGGCCTTTGTGGATACCGTCAAGACATGGTAGCAGGAGTGGTTTTT